TCAGGTGATCCTCCCACCTCAGCCTCCCAAGTAGCTGAGACTGCAGGTGTGCGCCACCACACCCAGCTAATTTTTTGTTTTGTTTTGTTTTTTTGGTAGTGATGAGGTCTCACTGTGTTGTCCTGCTTGGTCTCGAACTCCTGGGCTCAAGTGATCCTCTTGCCTTGGCCTCCCAAGTTGCTGGGATTACAGGCATGAGCCACCATGCCTGGCAGATGCAATATTTAACGTCTGTCTTTGTTTTTTCTAAGAGTCAAAGGGTTCTGGTGTATTGGTAGAAAAACAGGCAGCACACTCCAAAGGGAGGATTGAAAAGTGTTTAAAGATAAGGACTATTTACAAAACTATGAGCGGGAAGGGGTGGGGGTGGGGGAATCCAGGGAATGCTGTGGCTCTACCAGATGTTGTCCCATGGAGCAGTGACCTTAGGTAGACTGACACAGACACTGTCTAACAGGGCCTTGGCAGGGGAGCTTGGAGAATAAATTAATACTACATCTGTCTCTTCCCACCTTCCATTCTCCTGTTGCTTTCTTATTTTTTAAAATTAAAATTTGTTTTGATGGTTCTCACTCTGTTGCTCAGTCTGAAGTGCAGTGGTGCAATCAATGGCTCACTGCAGCCCGGACCTCCTGGGCTCAGGTGATCCTTCTGCTTCAGCCTCCCGAATTGCTAGGACTACAGGCGCCCACCACCACACCTGGCTAACTTTCTGTAGAAATGAGGTCTTGCTATGTTGCCCAGGTTAGTTTGGAACTCCTGGACTCAAGCCATCCTCTGACTTAGGCCTCTCAAAGTGCTGGGATTACAGGTGTGAGCCACCGCACCTGGCCTTTTAAAAAAAACTGTATAAATTTAGGGATACAAGTGCCGTTTTGCTGCATGGATATATTGTGTAGGGATGAAGTCTGGGCTTTTAGTGTATCCATCACCTGAACAGTGAACATTGCACCCATTAAATAATTTCTCATCCCTCGCTCGTCCATCCATGTTGTTGCAATAGACATGGTTCCATTCTTTTTTATAGCTGCATATAGACTATATTTTTAAAAAACCCAGTCATCTGTTGATGGACACTTAGGTTGATTCCAATTCTGCTATTGTGAATTGTGCTGCAATAAACATATGAGGGCAAGTATCCTTCTGATGTGATGATTTCTTTTCCTTTGGGTAGATACCCAGTAGTGGGATTGCTGGGTTGGGCTTTAGTTCTATTTTGGGTTCTTTGAGAAATCTCCATACTGTTGCTTTCTCCGCTGGGCAGATAGAAAGGAAAGCCAGCAGGGGAGGGCCTGAGAGCCGATCTAGAAGGATGAACAGAATCCCAGTACACTTGGAATGGGGTGCTGCCACTTTCTGGTTGTGAGGTCAGTGTAGATCAGGTTGACTTTTCCCTCAGGCAAGGAGCCCATAATCTCTTAGAAGTCCACAGAAATGGTTTCATGTCTTTTTTTTTTTTTTTGAGTTGGGGTCTCACTCTGTTGCCCAGACTGAAATGTAGTGGCACAATCATGGCTCATAGCAGCCTCGACCTCCTGGGCTTAAGCAGTAGGAGGCGGAAAATTTCTCTCTAAAGGTGTGACAATACCTGGCCATCCAAAGTGGAATAGAGTCTAGTACAGAATACACTTTTTTCTTTTTTGAGTCCAGGTCTCACTTTGTCACCCAGGTTGGAGTACCGTGGCACCATCATAGCTCACCACAGCCTTGACCTCCTGGGCTCAGGTGATCCTCCCACCTCAGCCTCTCAAGTAGCTGGGACTACAGGTGTGCGCCACCACACCCAGCCCATTTTGGCCTCCTAAAATGCTGGGATTATAGGCATGAGCCACCATGCCTGGCCTGTTTGCATGTCTTTTTCTTTTTTTTTTTTGAGTTGGAGTCTCACTTGGTTGCCCAGACTGGAGTGCAGTGGCCGCTCCCGGCCACCACAGCCTCACCTGCTGGGCTCCAGTGATCCTTCTGCCTCAGCCTTCCGAGTAGCCGGAATTACAGGCATGTGCTACCACGCCTGGCTGATTTTTTTGATTTATTGTAGAGATGAGGTCTCGCTGCCCAGGTGGTTGCATGTCTTTTTCTTTTGCCTTTTATTTTTAGTTGATACATAATAATTGTATGAGGGGAAACTAAAAAAACTCATAGAATTTATTTATTAAAAAATTGTGTATTTCTTCTTACATGTTTAAACTTCAGTCACCTTCACAATACTGTGCTTCATGCAGTACATCTATTGAGATGCTATTTCCATTGCTTAAAACAGTTTTTGAATTCATCGGTTCAGATGCCTTTTAGTGCTTCTGGTGTTTTTCTTGTTTCACCTCTTCCATATCGGCAAAGCATTTCCCTGAGAACTTTTTTCATCTGGTGAAACAAACAAAAAAAGTCACGTGGGTGGCGAGATAGGATGAATAGGGATAGTGGGGCATGGGGGTCATGCCATTTTTGGTCAAAAACTGTTGAACACTCTGTGGGCAGGTGCACTTGTAAATCACCCATCATGAAATGAGCAAATATGTTGAAAGAATCTCTAAAAAACAATTCACTGAAGGTGACCACAGCCTCTCATAACAATGCAAGCTGGTATGCTGATGCTGATGAGTTCCTGTAACACCTATCTAGCAGGGGAAGCCTGTGCTACAAAGGGTCCACCCTCCAAAAGATAATTCCGGGTTTTTTGGGTTCCCCCTTGTACATATTGATGGGATACAGAGTTATATTTTGATTTGTGTATACGATGTGTTATGATCCAGTCAGGATAATTAGCACTCAAAAATTTATCCTTTATGTTGGGAACTTTCAAAATCTTATCTTCTAGCTTTTGAGAATATACAGTGAGTTATAGTTCACCTATATAACATCTAGAGTGCTACAGAATTCCAAACTCATTTCTCCTATCTTTAGCCAACCTGTCTCTGAGGTAGAGGAGCTCTGACCCTTCTCAGGCTTAAATACTATTCTACTCTTTACTTTTCTCATGTTTTCATTTCGTTTAAGTTCTGATCTACTTTGAGGTCAAAGAAAATGTCTTAATGTATAGTATTAATATATCAATTTTTATTTGCTTATTTATGAGGACATATTTTTTAGAGATAGGGTCTGGCTGTGTTGCCCAGGCTGGTCTTGAGCTTTTGGGCTCAAGTGATCCTCCTGCCTCAGCCTCCTGAGCAGCTAGGAAAATGCTCAGCTCCATTTTAAAAACTGAGGTGAAATTCACATAACACAAAATAACCATTTGAAAGTGTATGACTCAGTGGTATTTAGTACTTTCACAGCATTGCATGACCATCACTCCTAGTTTCAAAATAATGTATCTATCTTTATACCAATACAGTTGTAAAATATAATTTTAATATCTACATTTTTTTTAATGGAGAAAAGAATCCGCAAAGAAGAAATTCCTTAGGCCCATGAAAGTCACAGTTTCTTTCTTTTTTTTTTTTTAGTCAGAGTCTGTTGTCCAGGCTGAAGTGCAGTGACATGCTCATGGCCACCACAGTCTTGACCTGCTGGGCTCAGGCGATCCTTCTGCATCAGTCTTCTAAGTAGCAGGAACTACAAGTGTGCACCATCATGCCTGGCTAATTTTTCTTGATTTATTGTAGAGACGAGGTCTCGCCAAGTTGTCCAACATGGCATCAAACCCCTGGACTCAGGCAATCCTCTCGCCTCCGTCTCCCAAAGTGCTGGGATGACAGGTGTGAGCCACCATGCCTGGCCACAATTTCTTTTTAAAAAACGTTTTGAGATAGGATCTAGATCTGTTGCTCAGGCTGGAGTGCAGTGGCGCGATCATAGCTCACTGCAGCCTTGACCTCTTGGGCTCAAGCGATCCTCTCACCTCAGCCTCCTGAGTAGTTAGGGAAAGTCACAATTTCCAAGCTGTCCTGTACATGGGAGGTGTTTATTTGGTAAATGGATGGGCAGGTTTTTTAAATTTAATGTTGATGAGAAATGTAACTCATATTTCAAGCAGTAGTCTAAAGTTTCCATTTTAGATTCTTTAAAAAAGAGAATTAAATAAGGATGCATGAATATGGTCAGATATGAGGAGGAGACACCCCAATACAATGCCTGCCACCCCAGAGGGGCTCATGAACATTATTACACTGGGGCCAAGAATTGTCACCTTTTTTTCCCCCCAAGGAACCCCTCCCCCAACCCTTTTTGCTCACCTGGGCAGTCAAGCAGAGCAGCTGCATTTATTGGACCCCTACTGTTTGCCAGGCACCTGCTGATTTTGTTGTTGTGGAAAACCTCCAGGCTGGACACCAAACTGTGTTAATTGTGGGGACTCAACTGGGCATGGTAGCTTTCACCTGTAATCCCAGCACTCTGGGAGGCTGAAGTAGGAGGACTGCAGGAGTTCGAGACCAGCCTGAGCAACATAGTGAGACTCTATCTCCAAAAGCAAAAACAAAAAGTAATAAAAAAAATTAGTGGGGCATGGTAGCATACGCCTTTAGTCCCAGCTACTCAGGAGGCAGAGGTGGGAAGATTGCCTGAGCCTAGGAGGTTGAGGCTGCAGTGAGCTATGGTTGTGTCACTGCACTCCAGCCTGAGTGAAACCCAACTAAAAAAAATATTAGGGGACTATCCCCCAGGTGTTTGTTTAGAGCTCTATATGCAGTTGGCTCTTAGCAAGGGCTTGTTAGTTTGGCTTGAGAACTGGGGCAGCTCCCAATTGTCTGTAATGACCTCACTAATGTAGTTAGGTTTGGAGCCGGGAATGTCAAAATCACCCACTATTTTGAGGTTTTCTGCCTTGCCTCTTCCCAGCCACGCCCATCAATGATTCTGGAGATGATTTTGGTCCTTTCTTGCCAGGTTGTGGCCCTTGAACCCCATGCAGTGTCTCAGGTGTTCCACCCCAGGCATATCCCAAGAGAATGTCATCACCCCTCCCCTGCCTTCTGGGCATCCTCCAAGTGCCTGCCACCTTTCTTTTTCCCCTCTACCCATGCCCTCCTTCTTCCCTGCCCCTCACCAGACCTCGCTTCTCTGTTCCCCACAGATAGACGATGAGCAGCCATGGCAACAGCCTGTTCCTGCGAGAGAGCGGCCAGCGGCTGGGCCGCGTGGGCTGGCTGCAGCAGCTGCAGGAGAGCCTGCAGCAGAGGGCGCTCCGCACGCGCCTGCGCCTGCAGACCATGACCCGCGAGCATGTGCTGCGCTTCCTGCGCCGAAATGCCTTCATCCTGTTGACTGTCAGCGCTGTGGTCATCGGTGAGCTCTGCCTCCTGGAGGGTGGCCCTTTCGGGAAGTACCCCCCATCTCTTTGCTCCACCCCCTCATTCTCATCTATACACACAATTTCTGCCAGCCCCCCCCCGCCCCCCCTATAAAGACACAATCACAGATGGGTATGCACATGCGTGGAAACAGCTGTGTGCATACATCACATGTATATCCATGTACACACACACTCATATATATACAGTGTACAGACACACACTTTACATGTGTACACCCATACACAAGCATGGACACTTTTTTTTTTTTTTTGCCCCATTTTAATTTTAGATTCAGGGGGTGCATGTGCATGTTCGTTATATGGGCATACTGTGTAGGGTGGGGATTTGAGATTTCAGGTAGCCCATTCCCCATATAGTAAACATAGTAGCCAATAGGTAGTTTCTGAACCCTAACCTGCTTCCCCATCTCTTCCCTTACTGGAATCTCTAAGTGTCTGCTATTTTCATCTTTGTGCCCATTTAGCTCCTGCATATGAGTGGGAATGTGCCATGTTTGGTTTTCTGTTTCTGAGTCAGTTCACTTAGGGTGATGATCTCCAGCTCCATCCACGTTGCTGCAGAGAACATGATTTCATTCTTTTTTTTTTTTTGAGTCGGAGTCTCACTTTGTCGCCCAGACTGGAGTGCAGTAGGCTGCTCCTGGCCACCGCAGCCTCGACCTGCTGGGCCCCGGTGATCCTTCTGCCTCAGCCTTCCGAGTAGCCGGAATTACAGGCATGCGCTACCACGCCCGGCTGTTTTTTTGATTTATTGTAGAGATGAGGTCTCGCTGCTCAGGCGGGTCTCGAACCCACGGGCTCAGGCAATCCACTCACCTCAGCCTCCCAAAGGCACGGGATTACAGGCTGAGCCACTGAGCCTGGCTTGATTTCATTCTTTTTTATGGCTGCATTGTATTCCCATGTGGACACAATGGGAGACCATATGGGAATACAGACACATCAGGTGCAAACATATCAACTCATGGGTGCACTTGCACACATATGTTAGAACTTATAAACACATTCACACCTGCACATGCATTCTCCTGAGCACACATTCACACACTTATGAGGTTAAATATACTCACACCTCCCCCGTATTTTAAAACAGTAACACACACAGGTTACACCTATGGACACCCTAAAGAAAATACATCTGCAAATTCATGTGTATGGGCCCACCTATACAGGCATATGCACATACTCACAGGTGAGCATACACTGTCACATATGCATGCATATGTACATATTAATAAGTACAGACATTATACATTGACATATACATTAATATGGCTACCCATAAATGAATACATTTCTGCAGTGCACGTGCATACCAATGTCCACACATATACACACACTCATAGAATATTTCTCTTGCCACCACTCTCACTCACCTTTCTTGGGATGGATGAATTCTTCCTGGGGCCGAGGGCCCAGACTTCACTCCACGGATTTCTTCTTTTGGTCCTAGGGGTCAGCCTGGCCTTTGCCCTGCGCCCGTATCAGCTCACCTACCGCCAGATCAAGTACTTCTCTTTTCCTGGAGAGCTTCTCATGAGAATGCTGCAGATGCTGGTGCTGCCTCTCATTGTCTCCAGCCTGGTCACAGGTGAGAAAGCCCAGACCAGGGTTGTCCTCCAAGACCCACCCAGAGCCCAAATGGAACCCAGGGCCAAGGCTATCCCAAACATGGGGCCAGCTCCCCAACTCAGCACCCCAAACATAGAGCCTGCGTCTTGCCCAGAGTCCTTGGCCAAAGTCCAGATCCTGTTCAGACCCAGTTTCTAGACCCCATGTGACCCATGTCACTCACCCCTGTGACCTTCTTGTATTTTTCGTTGGAGGTAAAATGCCAGCCTGCAAGGTGCTCAGTGTTACCTGGAGGTGAAAGAGATCTGGTGGGGATGGGTTGTGGATTAAAGTGTGTAGTAAAGAGGTGACAAAAAAGTGGGTAGAGGGTGGGATGGGAGTATGGTTGGATTATGTGGGAGTCTGCAGACCTTTTTCTCTAGAGGGATAAATAGTATACATTTGCAGCTTCAAGAACCATTTGTCCTCTGTTGCAACTACAGTTGACCCTTGAACACTACCGAGGTTAGGGGGGCCGACCCCCCAGGCAGTAGAAAGTCTGAGAATAACTTGACTTCCCCCCAAACTTACCTATTGATCACTTACTGTTGACTGGAAGCCTGGCCAATGATATTAAAAACTGACAATGTATATTTTGCATGCTATGTGTATTATATACTACGTTCTTACAGTAAGCTAGAGAAAATAGTTATGAAGAAAATCATAAGAAAAATAGACTTTATGATTCATTAAGTGAAAGAGGATCATCTTAATGGTTCTCATCCTCATCGTCTTCAAGTTGAGTAAGCTGAGGAGGAGGAGGAGGAGGAAGAGGAGGGCTTGGTTTTGCTGTCTCAGGGGTGGCAGAAAAGCCACGTTTAAGTGAATCCCTGCCGCTCAAACCCATGATGTTCAAGTTTCAGTTATACTCAGTTCTGCTGCAGCAGCACAAAAGTAGCCATAGACAATAGGTGAATAAATGGGCATGATGTTGTTCCAGTAAAACTTTATTGGCAAAAACAGGCAGTGGACTGGATTTGGCACATGGGTGGTAGTTTGCCGATGTCTGGGTTTGGGGATAGGGATGAAAAAAAAAGACATGAAAGGATGGTTTCTTAGGTTGGATTCCCTAGAAGCAAAGCCTGAGATGGGGGTATTTGCACAAGTGATTTATTCAGAGGTAGCTCTCAAGGAACACCCATGAGGAAGGAATGGAAGCTGGGCGGGGTAGGAACACCAGCAAAGCAAAGATGTGGGTTCAGAAGAAGACTGATCCCACGAGAAGTTCTGGAGTGAGCTTCAGAGCTCACAGAATTGTTCCCCAAGCTCTGCTGCCACCTGAGTCAAAGGAGCTGGGCTCTTGAGTCCCTGCACCAGTCATTGGCAGTAGTCCTCCCTTGGGGCCTTTCTGGGTGAGACATTTCCCATTCTGCTGAGGGCAGTTCTCAGGAGGGTAGCCTGAGCTGTTAGCAGCCAGTGGGCAACTGAGGGAGGGGCATATTGACCTGGTGAAGGGCATCTGGTTGGAGTCCCAACAATATGTATCATAGAGAGCATGAAAGAGGTGAGTTGGAGGGAGGTGTCTGATTTGGAGGTGGATCGTGGGACAAGTGGACTGAAAGTTAGGTTATGGTACAAAATAGGGGTCCATGGAAGAGCGAGTGGGGGTTGAAAATGTTGGTTTGGAGTAGAGGGAAGGTAGAATGGCTAGTGGGGTTCTGCTTGGGATAAAGAATGGGGCAGAGTGTGGAGGCGTATATGGAAAATAGGATATGAGTAGAAAGATGGTGGTATGGGTGGATGGATAAATGGGGTTCTGGGGTGGGCTGTAGGAGAACGGGATATTGGGTGGGATGGCGGTTGAGCTGGGAGGGTGGACCAGATGGCTGGGAGAGTGGCTGATGGGCATGGATAGGGCTTTGGGGGATTGCACCATTTGTCCTCTAGGCATGGCATCCCTGGACAACAAGGCCACAGGGCGGATGGGGATGCGGGCAGCCGTGTACTACATGGTGACCACCATCATCGCTGTTTTCATCGGCATCCTCATGGTCACCATCATTCATCCTGGGAAGGGCTCCAAGGAGGGGCTGCATCGGGAGGGTCGGATCGAGACCATCCCCACAGCTGATGCCTTCATGGACCTGATCAGGTGTGTTAACATAACAAAAGCAATAAACACTATGTATCATTTGGAAAAGGAGACTTTATTTCTTGTAAAGGGTTACAGCCTGCAAGGTGACCATCCCTCAGGTTGGGATCAGAGACAGACACATCAAAGGAGGAGGGGCTGGAGTTGGAGCTTTATTCTGAATAGGTTGGCCAGACATACACATTCAAGGTTCCAGGAGGGGCTATGAATATTCATGAGGAGGGTGGTCTGACACTTGCATATTGAACAAACATACGACGTATGTTCACCTTGGGGTGGAGACTTAAAACTTTCTAAGACAGAGTTTACCAGTGAGAAGAAAAGGAAAAAGGAAGGTTCATAGCAGGAGACTTAACATTTAACATTTAAATGTATTACAACTAGGTCCTGTATATCCAAAGGTCTTTTCGGGACACAAAGGCTCACAAGTGTGAAGCCTCTGTAAACCAGCTAGGACCAGTCTGTACTCAGTGGTCTCTTATTAGGAGAAAGTTGCTGAAATCAGTCTCTTGTCCAGTCAAAGCCCTAGTATAGCTGGTGGAGCAAACTTTTAGCCCATGCCTGTAGGCTGGATGAGTTGTAATTCTTTTAACATGGTTTATCTCAAGCCCAGGGCTTGTTTGGTTGTTAAGAGAGAAGGAAAAACCTTGTGGTAGTTAGAACATAGTTTCTTCTTTAAGAGTAGAAGATGTGTGACTTAACCCTTGCCTGACATGGCCTTAGGTCCATGTTTATAATTTGCTCTCTTATTGCCAGAAAGAGTCTGTTAGTCTTAGGAGCTCTGTTTTAGCATTTTTGCTGGTCAGTTGTGTCTAAACCGCAAAAGGGAGGAGTATAATGAGGTGTGTCTGATCTCCCGTCCCATCATGGTCAGGAACTCGGTTTCAAGGTTTTTCTGAGGGTTCAATGAACCCCACCACAAGGGGGTTCATTCAGTCAATGGGGGAGAGGCTTAGGACTTTATATTTAGTTTACAAGTGGCACTCCCATTTTGATGGGGTTTCTGGCTCTGCATGTGACAGTCTACTCAAGGAGAGACCTCAAGGGACAGGCTGACCTGCCCTGGAAATAGCAATACCCATGGGTACCCATGGGTACCCAATTTCTCCCCTGCACAGTTTCTACAACAGCATCTACTCCTAGGATATGATCTCTTTTTTTAAAAAAAGTTAATTTGTTTATTTATTATTTTTGAGTTGGATTCTCACTCTGTCACCTAAGCTGGAGTACAGTGGCACGAGCATGGCTCACCGCAGCCTCAATCTCCTGGGTTCGGGTGATCCTCTCACCTTAGCTTCCCAAATAACTGGGACTACAGGCATGTCACCCTGCCCAGCTAAATTTTTAGATTTTTTTTGTAGAGACAAATCTTGCTATATTGCTGGTCTCACACTCCTGGGCTCAAGCAGTCCTCTTGCCTCGGCCTCCAAAAGTGTTAGGTTTACAGGCATAAGGCACTGTGCCTGGCTGGATATGACTTTTTGATGCTTGGGCTGGGGAGGCTATAGCTTCAGCATCTTGGGTCAGAGTCAGAATAGTTGGTGTTTGCCCCAAGTTTCATGGGAGCGTGACTGATCCTCAGTGAGAACTTGCAAGCTCAAATCAAGGTTGTACCTTAGTCACTGACTTGGGAATGTAGAGTTGAAAGAGTTTAGGAATTCTTTGTGGGTTTGTTTGTTTTGAGTCAGAGTCTTACTATGTCATCCATGCTGGAGTCCAGTGGCCCAGTCACAGCTCACTGCAGCCTCAATCTCCTGGGCTCAGGTGATCCTTCCGCCTCAGCCTCCCAAGTAGCTGAAACCATAGGTGTGCACCACCACATCCAGCTAATTATTTGATGATTATTATTTTTTTTACTTAAGATACGAGGTCTTACTATGTTGCCCAGGCTGGTCTCTGGTATCTTGGAGTGTCACTGACACATGTTTGAATCAGAGTCCTTGGGGGAGGTATAGAGCTTTGGCAAGGGGCTCAGGCACACCTGGATTTGGGGTCCATCTGCACCTCCTAGCACCTGTGTGACTCTGGGCCACTTATTTCAGTTCTATGTGCTTTGTTTCCTTTCTCTGTAAAATGGGGACATTGATAGCACTGATTTATTTCTAGGATTATTATAGTGTTTAAATCAGGTAACATAGATCAGGTACTTGCTCAGAAGCTGGCCTGGAGTAAACATGCATATATTGGCTGCTATTATTATTGTTGTGGTAGTGGTTATTATTGTTACTGTCCTAGAGTCCCTTCCCAGATCTAATCACTTTTCTTCCTCTGATGTTTTTCTGCAGAAATATGTTTCCACCCAACCTTGTGGAGGCCTGCTTCAAACAGGTCAGGGGGAAGTCTACAGTTGGATCAGGGAGGCTTGGAGGGTGGGGGAAACTTGTTGCTGAGGAGAGAGCCCAAGGGTGAGGGGTGAGAAGAAGGACCTGACAGAGCAATGGACAAGGGATCTTGGAGGAGTCTAGGAGAAAGAACGTACTTCCTATTGGCATGATGACCAAGGGAGGGTTAGAGAGAAGGACTTAGGCCAACATCTGCTTGGGCATGGGACCACAGGAGGCAGAGAGGCTGGTGTAGAGACTGCAGGACTTTTGACCATACATGGTTGAGGAGAAAGGCCCCCAAATCTGGTTGAGCATTGGTGGAAAATATAGGATCTATTCGAATTCTTCATGCATTGGGTGTTCACTCCCTCATTCATCTATTCAGTCACTCATTCTTTTAAATTTTTTTATGTTAAAAAATATTTATTTTTATCTGGCTGTGGTGGCTCATGCCTATAATCCTAGCACGTTGGGAGGCTGAGGTGAGAGGATCGCTTGAGCCCAGGAGTTTGAGGTTGCGGTGAGCCATGATCGTGCCACTGCACTCCAGTCTGGGTGACAGAATGAGACCCTGACTCAAAAAAAAAAAGTATTTATTTAAAAAAATTTTTATTTTAAAGATGTGGGGTACAATTCAGGATTAGGTATACAAATGTTCATTATGCTGGTACCCTTGTTGATGAGGTGAGGTGTGCCCCCCGCTCAGTAGATTCCCGATACTGCCAATCCTGTCCCCCACCCCTGGCAGTTTCCCACTACTGCCAAACCTTTTCTTATATTTATTTTTAACTGACACATAAAATCATATGTCTTTATGGCATATGACACAGTGTTTTGAAATATGCCTAATCAATTGACCTTATTAACATTTCCATTATCTCAAATACTAATCACTTTTTGTTTGGTGAGTGCATCTAAAATCTACCCTTTTAGTGATTTTCAAGTATACAACACACTGTTGCTAACTATAGTCATCATGTTATCACAGTAGATCTCTTGAACCGACTCCTCCCTTATGGCTGAAATTTTACGTCCTTTGACCAACATCTCCCAACCTCCCTGTCCCCTAGCTCCTGGTAACCGCCATTCTACAGTCTGTTTTTATAAGTTCAACTTTTTTTTTTTT